ATGATAAGATACTTGTACTTTTACTCATCACTTTGAGGTACTTTATACAACATTGGTGTTTCCGTGTGGACAAGACCTTAAAACTCTTCACTTTTGACTTTTGGTCTCATCAACCCCAGCATAAAACAATAAGACACAAGGCCTCATCCCACCTGTTTAAGTCCCACATGCTATTCTAGAATCAAACACTGCCATCCATCCATCCATCCATCCATCCATCCATCCATCCATCCATCCATCCATCCATCCATTCATCCACTCCTCTCTGCCTCCCATCAGTACTGCACACAACCCTGAACCACCCAGGGCCCACACCATACTTTTTCTGGCCTCCTCTGTTAGTGCAGAAATGAATTATATCACTTTTCACACCTGTTTCTGCTCAAACCCCCTCAGCACTTTGCTGTGTGTAGGAAAAAAAAATCCAAGGGTGGGGGAACAGCACTCCCCCAGCGCGGCTACATCTGTGTACGCAAGCGGTTAAATTATACTCTAATTGTATTAACGCTGGATTATGCCTTCCAGTTGGGGTTTTTTTTATACTCTCTCCTTCTCAGCATTTTACACATTTTAAAGGGAAGAAAGGCACGGGGAAGTGGGGGTGGTGGTGGTGGTAGGCAGCTCATTGAGAGTTTTGCGAGTTGGCTTTTTTATGAGCTGCGATCATGGCTGCCCCTTGTTACACCGCATCTGTGTACAAATAAGAGGGGAGGAGAGCCAGGATGTGAGTGTGTTAGCGATAATGTGTATGAAAGTGTGCGCCCCAGTCTGTGAATAACACTTCAGATGCCAAACCCACTGCCCTCTCCCTGGAACACACACACACACACACACACACACACACACACACATATACACACACATCTGCATGAGTCTTGCAGGGCTACAATCTAAATGGGAATATGGTTTGTGTGTGCGGCAGGCAGGCGGGGGTGAATTCCATCTAATTACTCTATCACATAATTTCACAAATTGCCTTTTCATAGGGGAGTGGAGAGCAGAGCGCGGGACGCATTGGGGATTTGAGGCCTGAGCTTTCATTTACCACTCATTTCTTGTTAAATTAAACAAGGAAATACTATTTGTGTGGAGGGGAGGGTGCTGGTTAGGTGGACTGTCACTGCACAATTGAGAAAGGAGTGTGGAAAAAGGATAAGAAAGCTGCTTACTCATCTTAAGACTTGATTCTTGAGTTGTAAGTTTCAACGTATCTGTTATGCAATTCGTTAAGAATTGCTTTCACCACTTAAGATAATTTTGGTGATCATAATTTTAGTCATTACCACTCTTTAGAGTATTAACAATGTGCTGCTYCTGAAGAAAGAAAGTATACATATAAACACATTTTCCTTTTCCCAAATACCTGATCAGTAAACTGGTGGCTTTAATTTAAGAGGTCAAATAAAAACAGTCATCAAAATGTGAGAAGACCTCCCCCTCTCCTTTTATTTTGGGTCCCTACCAAGTTTACAGCTGCATGTCAAGCTGGCAGCAAGCTGCATAGTTTTGCCATTGGTGACAGGCGGTTAACGCTAATGTTTTGTCGTCGYTCCAAGTTAGCACAGCCAAATTCTTGCGATGAACTTGTCCCACAAGCATTGTCGACAACATATGAGCTCATTGGGTGTGTTGGAGAAAACTCAGTGAGCTGCAAATGTCCTAATCACAAATTCTGTGYTGCTGCTATGTCAGTCACAAACCTGGGTTCTGCTTGTCAGTCGATAGATACCCAAAGTACAGCTTTCAATGCTTTAGTAATAAAAAGTAGGAACATTTTTCTAATGTTGCTCTAAAATACCTTTTGCAAGACAAAAAGAAATAGCACATTTTATGGCTAAAATGAGCAGAGATCTTTTCAGCAAAACACTAAAAGAACTGATTTATAATCACTACCTATTACCCTGCTGGTGCACTCGTAGCCCCGATTTCCCACCCACCTTTTCTTTCCGCTTTGGTGCAATGGGAACCCCCTTGAGGAGCCAATTGTGAGGGCGACTAACATATAATACAATTAGACTCAGAATCCAAACTTCTACTTAGATTTTAATCTAGTTTGCTGCGTTGTTTTTGAGTTTAGTCACAATTTCATCATAATTAAACTTGAAAAACAAACAATTTTGACTCAGATTTCCAAGGTGTTTTAAAGCACTCTGCCATGAAGATGGTGTATCTAGTCTCTCTTGAAAAAGAGATTTTTAATCTCAATGAGAGCCATCTGGTTAAATAAAGGTTTAAATAATTAAATCTGCATTTATGTGTACATGCATGTATTTGCATGAGCTTAATTAGCATCATGCCCAACTCCAAGAATCCAGACTCCTGCCCTCCATCCTCTTTTAAAACAAATACAGAGCAGCTGATGAAGCCAAAATGAATGATTTTGGAATACCTGTTTATGCTCATATAAACCAATCATGCTGGKGTCCAGTGAACAAAATGCTATAAAGGTTTAAACAAGCTATGAGTAGCATTCATAAACACAGACAAATGGTGATTAAACTGATGATGGCAGTGAAGAATGATTAAACAAATGAGACCACAGCATTGGCTGTGCTGTTGGTGCCAGTGTTTCTCAAAATTAAGACAATACTTTYCTGCAAAGATGCTGCTCCTGAAGGTTCCATTTCAGTTCAATGAAGTTCATGAACATRTTATAAATGATCTTCATATAAAACTTTGATACGACTGAAAAAAGCAGCAACACAACAAAAAACAGTGTTTTTTTTCCCTCCTAATTGTGAAACAATAGACCTTTCATATCCATAGTGCATATTTTAGTATGTCTTTGCCTGTTGGAAGAACAATGACAAGCCCTTCCTTATATCCCACCTCACTTCATCGCYTTTTTGTTTCTACCCAAACCACACACTTTTATCTAACCGTTTGGAATCTAACAATAAAGAAGCCCCCCATAAGCCAGATTTATGGGGTAATATGTCAAAGGGATGCAGCTATGTGTGTCTCACATGACATGTATATACTACATTGTTTTCACAGAGGATGTGTGTGCTTCAAACACATTTCTTCTGTGGCCAGGAAGGTATCARGCTGTATGTGTAGAGGTCAGATAAAAAGGGAAGGACAGAAAGGTGAAAAGTATGGGAAGTCTTGAGCGATGCACATTRCATAGACATGACAAAAATAAAAGTTTGCCTATGTACATGCCACACGTGAGAACATTCTTGTACTTTGCTATTTACTATTCAGGAAATGTGCAGTCTGTACAAAACAAACAGAAAAAAAAGTTGAGCCCATGCAATAACCATGATCCAACTCATACTGTATATAACTCTGCTCCATATCCTCCCCATTGGCTTATGCAACACAAACCAACACCCACTTAGCCAAAYTGTATCACGTTCTACCCAAACTCCTGACGCAGGCAGAATGTGAGTGATGCACGACTTGGTAAAGTACTTTAAAAACACATTTCCTTGGAAAGATCTTAGTAGAAATGTTAATAAATCCTTAAGGAAGAACAAAAAATTAAATCAAATTAAATTAAATAATTCTTATTTCTGACTCATTTGTTTGGCTTTCCGCTAAACTTTGAACTCCATGTGGGCAGCTTTGTTTAAAATAGGCACAAAATGTTTTAAATTCTTTTTTCACATTTTTAAAATTCAGTTGAGATCTACAGTATATACTGTGGAACTTCAATGCTTTGGCCTGAATTCCTCCTTACTGTAACTCCACAAGCCCCTCTTTCACCCCTTTTCTGAGGTGTGTCTCAGATCAACTTGTTTTGAAGCTGTCTTTTTAAAKCCAAACTACAATATTTTGACATAAAAGTTCAGAAAACGTAATAGAGTTATAATAGAGAAAATTGAACATGGTGGAAAATGTTACTCAAATAGAATATAAYGATATTTACATAGCACCGGAAGAGACTAAATCCTAATTTATGCACTCTTAGAGACACCAGGTACACAACAAAATGCATATGAYTAAAAATGTGGATTTTGCATGTTGTGTCCCTTTTACTGTATAATAAAGTTCTGTAAGTTTGTATTTAACAACAATTTTCTTTAATTTTTCAACGTTTTTTGATTCAGTTGCATTCAAAAAATTTAAACATATACGTACACTCAAAACAAAGGGATAACATGCTGGATTATTTCAAAGGATCAGACAGGGTCAGCATGCGTGTAATTAATTTCTCAGCTTTTCTGATGTGAATTGAGAAAAAAAGTAACTGTTGTCATTTTTAGTCAGTAAAATTGCCTTAGCTGCWGTGTGGTAAACAAGATTCCTTAATGGAGCCACCACTGGCACAAATATCCCATTCAAATGTTAGTGAAGAGGCTACTTTGATCATAAAACCTCCCTTGTAAACTACAGTCAAATATTATTCCACTTAACATGGTTGAATTCCATTTAACCTTTTACCTTTGTTGCTTTGATGAGTCACTAATGTCTAGCACAAAGACTGCTAAACTGATTCTATTGGAATCAATGTAAACTGTGTTAAGATGGTACCCAGTTCCCTCTTGATTCAACCTTCCACTCTCATAATAAAACTATTTGTGATACTGTCAGACTGCATTTTTTACTAAGTGAGGAAAACCTATAAGCCAAACCACAAGCATTTGCAGAATCCAGAGCATTTGTTAAAATATAACCAATTTCGTTCCCATGAGACAGACAGTTRTCTGCAGATAAGGCCTGGGGTCCTTCTCCTTGGCTTCAGCCTCATTCACTTTCARAGGATGATCAGAGATCTCTCTAAGATCACAGCCTCTGTCTTTGAAGTGCTCACCGTACAAACTCAGACACACTTTGGTGATGTGTATAAAAGTGTCAAAAAGCCTTTCAGTGCTGGATGGTGCATATACAGTATGTGTTTCTTTAAATGTGTTTTTAGTGTGTAAGTGTGTAAGTATTAAATGAGAAAAGAGATAGAAACAAGATAAGAGTGCTCTCAGTTGTGCATTAGGGTTCACACATGATATAAAAAGGAAAAAAAATGAGCAAACAAAATGTCAATTTGCTGAACTTACTGTTAGGTGCTGGAAGAGCCACGCTCTCATGATGTTGGTGGCCACTTTAGGAAAAATCCCCCTCTTCTTGTTGTGTTTCTTCTCTTTATCTGGGTCATCGTCGTCCCCCGTGCTCGGCGAAGCCACACTGTTGTCCAGGCCRTCACCTGTCACATGACGAGAAACAGGAAGAGACAGCAGAGATGAGACTCAGACTCTGTTTACTTCCTGCATTCGCTGTGCCTTGGCGTTCAAAAGGAATAAATCTGATTTTGAAGGAATTCTGGAGGGCTTTGTACGCACAGACGGATGGGTATAGAAACATGACAATGGCAAAAGGAGAATAGCTGGAAAACAGCACCTCATAAATGCATTCAATTTTAATACATTTATAAATAACCCTGCCTTTCATTTCTCCCCCCCGCCTCATCCATGAAAACACAGTAAGCGCTCACATCCTTCTGTGAGAAAGAGAGTGGGGGAAAGGGGAGCACAAAGAACTTGTAAGGTCGCATTTCCCCACTCTCCCATCCAAGTCAGTGCAGAATTGAAAATGACAGAGAGATTTAGTCTTTATTATCCTGAGGGGAAAATAGTTATTGAAGTGTCGCCCCAGCGCATTCTGCCATTTTACCTGAGGTGGAAAGAGTAACAMGGCACTACAAAAGGCAAGGCTGCGAGGAGGGGGAGGCGGAAAATAAAAGGAAAATAGGTGGGAAAAAAGAGTCAAGAAGCACAAACAGCGCTAACAAAGCTAGCTGATTTTCATAACAATGGCATCATGGATGCTTACAGCAACCTGTAGGACTTCGATAAGACTTTATTAAGGCCAGTTAACCTCACCTGAAGGAAACAGTGAAACCAAGTATTTGAGTGCTGAAAGAGAACGTAAAAGCAAAGTGCACCATGGGCCTTTATTTTCCCCTATTCAGGTTCAACAACATTAACTCACACACACAAACAACTCCCATTCAAAACCACTCAATTAATCCACGCATTTTATATAGCTCCAGTGGAGAGAAAGCAGCTCTCCCCATCTGTAGCTGTGAAAAGCCTAATTGTTATTATCATTATTCAAAAATATGAGCCATACTCAATGAAGATGATAATCATTAAAGAAACATGAGGCAAACTAAACAAGTGGCACCCTAACGGCTGGATATTTCAGCGGCAGATAACTGACTTTTGTCCCACAACGCCCCTTTCGACTGGAAGAGATGGGAAGCGAGAAGRGAAAAAAACTAAAAAGCGCCAAAGCAGTGCACAGAATTGGATCCTGTTATTTATTGATTACACACTAAGCACTTCTAAAGCTTCTTGGCTTATTCACTGTTGCAAGAGTTGATAACTGCACTGATGCAGGATCGCGCTCCAGTAGCTTTCTGGGGGCGACACCCAGCACCTTGCTAAACCGTGAGCTCAGATTCATCGATAATTAATGGGGATGTTGGCGCTAATCCGGTTGGAGATGACTTTTTTCCAGCCTGCCACATCAATGGAATAATCAAGGGCCTAAAACCCAGGCCTTTGCTCCCCATTACCTCAGGCAAAAGAATTCCTGAAAGCATGCCTGGAGGGCACTTGAATTATATACACCATTAGGAGAGACACTCAACAAACCATATGAAACAACACACTTGACCAGTTCCTTTTTTCTCGCTCTCTCTCTGCCGACYACGCTGGCAGAAGGAGATGCATATGCACACATATTGGAGGCTGTTTTAATGAGCCTCATGTGGAAGTGTAGGTGACGGTAATAAGGGTGGGTGGGTAAAAACAGGAGCAGGCTTTGCATTGATGCAGCAGCAGTGATGCAAACACCACCCACTACACACTGATGATGCAAATATGAAGATCAAGCTTGGGTTCATGTAGCATCCTCAAAAGGTGAAGCACTAATGCTGGTTGGTGAATTTCTGTCTAGTTTCATTAAAGGCAATAAACGATGCTTCAAATCAATGTTTACATATAAATATAGTTCATTTTTTAGTTTAGACAGCCAACACAGTTCAACAGTCATGGACATCTGTTTTATCAGAATGTAAAACAAATAAGGCAACAAAATTATAACTTTTAAAGTAAGAGCTATTCAGTAGTGGCGTCCATAAAAGTTTTTTATGCACATTTATAAGTATCGCATCAGAAAAGATTGATGGAAACCTTAATATTAGAAGAAAAAAACTCCCTCAGTTTTGCAAAAAAAAAAAGATTTTACGCTCTCGAGGTGGTTTTTTAGATTTTCTGTAAAAAAAGTCAGTGCATAAAAGGGGCCATGGAAAGACATTTGCTGAATAAATTGTGATGTAGCAAACATTTGTCAGTTGTTTCCACTGTTGCGTTTCAGGAAAACGCAACCTGTACCTGCTTGGCTGTAAACAACAACAGACGTGGACRGACAGCATGTAACATCGCCAATACTAGCTGATATGACAGAAATACAACTTGCCCTTTTCCCCAGTGGGAAACAAAGCAGCCACTGTTCAAAAGAATGTCCCAACACAGACGAGCTACATCTAATGGCCAGAACTCTGCAGTTT